TATAAATATCTACTACACATGTATAACAGACTCACCCTTATGAAGTCTACAAGAGTGTTGTATATATGAGCTCCTTTGGGGAGGAAGAAACAGCTCCCAGGACTCCACTCGTGGAAGAAAAACAATTCTTGTTCCTGAAAAACAGAACATAATACCATGATCATTTTGAAAAGAACTGATTTCATAATTTCCTTAAATAGTTCTTGTCATATATGTCATAAATTTAATGGAAGCTACATGTAAGATGTAAGATTAAGCTAGATTCAAATTTTAAATTTCTGAATATAAAAGAAGAAAGAGATCAGCTAGATAAAGGGTGAAAAGTTAGAGACCATGGCATAAAATTCCCTTCCATGTAGCATTTTGTATGACCTACCCTCCCAAGTTTACGATGGTCCCGTTTTGCGGCCTCCTCCTGGATGTGTTTCCACTCCTTAAGCTGTTTGGGATCGGGGAAAGAAATACCATACACTCTCTGCAGATTCTCAGCATCAGCCTTGCCTTCCCAGTATGTGGAGGAATTCTAGAAAACAAAGGCCATGTTAAAGGCATGACTTAAAAACTTTTTTCCAGCGTCAACAAAAATGTAACAAGTGTGTTGAAGCAAAGCTCACTAACCTGAAGAATATTAGAAAAAAAAATAATTGCAAATTGTAATTAAATTGTAACCGTCATCAGAACAATGTACATAAAGTCAGCAATTAAACCACACAAGAACAGTCACATCTGAACTGTGGGCGTTGTCCTTTACAAGAATTTAGTTGGTTTTAATTTCCTCTGCAAGAAAACTTATTCTTTTTTTGTCATAATTTAGCTGATATGAGCAGCACTAGCACAGCTATAAGAACTGTTGTAAGACACCATCTTCATTTCTGGAATACACCTTACAAAACAGAAGTTTGCTATTAAAATTACATCGGCCAGGGCAAAATCTATCTTCTTGCTCAGACATTAGTGGTCATGTTTGATCCCGTTATTGTATATATGTATGTATATTGGTGATGTGCCACTATCTATATCTAAAGACACTACACAGGTGTTGTATAATAACTAGTTACCTTGGTCACAGCCATAGCCTTGATTTTGCCCGTGTGTCGGACATGGGGACCTCGACACAAGTCAATCAGGGGACCACACCTATCAACATAACACATCATTACTTTCTGTGTAAAACATGTAATCATAAAAAAATCAATTTATTAGTTTCTTTTTAAAGAAACCGTCGATATTTATATTTCTTCTTCTTTTTATAGTGTGCTATTTGTGCTGATTATCAACAATTTATTACTCCCAAATCTAGTTTATAGTTTAAAATGTAAGTGTCTCTCTATCCAACAGTGTCTTCTTCACTTACTTGTAGACAGTGGTGGTGGGAGTGGTCACTTTCTCGTTTAAGATCCTCTGCTTGAATTTGTTATACTGTAAAGACAAAACATAAATAGCATTACCATTTACATGAATTGAATTGACTCTCCGGGAGAAAACAGACATGCATAATTGTAATTCAACTTAACCTTTATAATCTGAATGAGTCACTTCTATTATGATGGTAACATGTTTAAGTTACATATCAGGAAGACACAATGGTAAAACTATTGATGGTGATGTAAACAACGACAAGTATGAGAAAACTGATATGAATTCTGCCAAGTCGCACATTCTGGGAGGGAGAAATACATAATCTAATGTCTTCTGAAGTTCTTTCCTCTTGATGCCACATATTTCCCCTTCAATATCATGTAAAGTGACAATGAGTAGGACCTTCAATACAAGAACTCTGATAAACTAGTCATCAGTTGTATGCTGATGCAGTGACATGACCACCACAGTGGTGTGTACCTCAAGGGACCTGTAATTAGTGGGGTGACCGACTGGCTAACAGGTCAACAGGTGTTCAGCAAAGAATCTGAGGAGAACACCGAAATAGTACAGTTACAATTGGTAGATTAAACTTAACTCAACTAAAACAACTATTTAATATTATAACTGTGAAGTAGTCCTCGGAAAAAATTCTACTTTGTTAATATGTTGTTGTTTTAAATTTCCTACAATGAAAATCAGTGGATGGAAATCTAGTATAAATCTATATAGCTACCAGATTGGCATCTCTGGAGGTTAGCAGCCCTGTTCCTGTACTATAGTTCAGTTAAGTATCGGTCAAAGTGTACTTTAATATAGAGTCAAGCCGTTACCAGATTTCTCACATGATTCTACATTCATTCATGAACTTACAGCAAACATCTTCAGAAGGTTTTCCTTGGTCATAACAAGGCGTTCAAAGGGCTGCTTCTCCTTCACGATGCTCTTCACCATCCCATCCATCACAGGGTAGTCCTCACTGGACACTGTCCTGTAAATACAAAACACACAACTCACCACCAAATCTGCAAACTTTTTCACACACTTAACCATTCATCCGAGATCTGGAATACGATAGATTTCAGGGTTTGTTGGTGTTTATGTCCTATCAACAGTCTTGGGTCATTTAAGGGCGTGTTATATTTTGATGGTGGAGGAAAACCAGAGTACCTGGAGAAAAAGCACCGACATACAGGCAGTACCTGGCGACTATCCCAGGTAAGCATTGAACCTGTGACCCAGTGATCAAGATTAACAAGGGGTTAATGACTGTAGACGGTCAGAGGCCTTAACCACTCGGCCAACGCAGCCCTATGAGGTTTTAGATATTGACACATATATGCACTGATCTGAGAATATTTACCAACGCCAAATGCAGACTAGGTTAAAATATGGTTTAGATGAGGCTTATTGATTACAGACCCACTGTAACTAAGGTCCACAAAAGTGTTGAATCACTCTTAATCAAAAGCCATCAATATTCCTATATACTTTTAAAAGGGACCCCAGATATACTCACAAATCCATTTCAAGCTATGCATAAATACGACTTCGTTTGTAAAATACCTGGTGCTCATTCATATCAAAGTTCTATATGACGTTTAACAGTTCTATACAAAGATTGGGGTGTGTAAGACATTTACAGACTTTTCTCATGATATCCCCGATGAGAGTTGTGAAATCACAACAAACATATTTTATTCACAGAATAGCGTACATGTATATAAGACACTGTTTACATACAGCCTTGGTCTCTGGAAGCACATTTGTAAAATCTATAACAACCTGTTCTATTGTTAGAACAGCATCTGTAACCTATTTACAGACTCCGACCCAGTGGTGGGAACACTGTAAAGATAATACACCATGCCAATACACCTGATGACTTACTTGTCGCCTGACCACATGTCGTAATAGAAGCCTCCCTCTATAGGGGGACCATAACAAAGATGTCCCCCGTAAAGTCGCTCCATTGCTTCTCCCAATATGTGAGCACTGGAGTGCCGGAAAACATATTCACCTTAAAAACAAGACATGTTTGTAAGAAAACAGACTTTATCACAATTTACAAACATGTATATCATGTACTATTCATCGCAACAGAGAACTAGTAGATTTTGTGTCCGGTGAACATTTTTAATACTTACTGTAACATATATGTTTCGCTAGTAGAATTTATATAGTTATTCCTACAGGCTAGTACTTGAAATACATTTTTTTCAATTGAAGCAATTATGGTCTTATAACCCAGAATGCCAAATTAATCAGTTTGTTTTAAGCACAATTTGTTTAATAATATTTATTTGAAACATTAGACTTCACACAAGGTTGACCTGTGCATGCTTGTTGTAACAAGAGGCTGAAAAGGCCTGTATCGCTTACTTGTTTCTCTTGTAATCATGACTGAACTAGAAAAGTATCTACAATGCTTCTGCTAACTAGAGACCACACGAGTCATCTCAGGTTTCTTGTTTACCCAATTATTAACACTTTGTAAGGACTATAACAAAAACATTTGTATGAAGATTGGCTTGAAACTAATCTGGTTGAATAGTAACCTTGCTTAGCTCTTCTGTTAAAGGGGCTGGTCGGGGAAAAAATGTCATATTTGCTAAAA